AAAATACCCAGCAGAGAAGTGATATGAACATGTACTAGGCCTATTGCACATAGCCTACATTATAATATTTGCTATAGATCGACATAATAACATCTGTTTTAGTAAAAAAATATTGCAGTGCTGCACAGATTTTATTTCCATTGTATGCACAAAACCCAATGGCCAGGGCTTGTGTTATTTGGTAGCCTATTGTTGTCTTATTGGTCACCGTGGTTTTGCTTTAAAATAAAATAAATTTATCCGATGTTTTACTGAAATACAGGGAATTATCATCATTTGTGTAAAATCCCGAGTTTGTGTTTATTCACTGATCCTAATGGAAAAACAAAGAAGAAAACGAATGATGTAAAATTACGGAGCCCTGCATGAAATGCGGAAAATTATTGTCTAAATAGAAATTATAATTACAAATTGATATGCCAGTAATTTCATGCAGTCATGCTCATTGCCCACCAAAAGTTGCACTGTCTTTTCTGCAGGGTAAATTAATATAGTATAGCTAGGCTAAATCTCAAACATCATTTATCAGCAACATATTTTGTGATATCGCCAAGCCATAAAACTGCTCAATATTAAAGCTTACAATTTAACTTTTTGTAAAGCTCCTTTGAAACGATGTGAATTAAGCGCTATACGAATATATTTTGACAGTAACTTCATCTAACTTGATTCGTAAGTTCATCAAAACATTATCCAATTGATCGTTACTGAAATCACAATGGTTATCACTTTATATAGTATGGCCAAACAGCATCGTAGATCATTCATAAACTTGTACCATTCGTACATAAAAGAATGCGCATGCTCAGACCTGAATCGTCTACACCAATAAGATTGCGGTATTATAAACCAATTAAATTGGGGGTGGGCGGAGCGACATAAAAATCAACAAATTGTAAGTTTTTGTACACTATCAAACCGTAGTTATAGGGTTTCAATTCGATTGACAATAGATGAACAATTTCACTCGACTCTGTTCATTCAATCAGTTGGGTGCACCCTCTAGGCTCTAAGGATTCCTAGAATACTACACATTCAACATCAAATACAACCCCAAAAACATTCACAAATGTTCACACTTGTAAAATTGACAGTTCACTAAATCACATTAAAAAATAAAAAACAAAATGCAAAAACAACAGTTCAGAAGGAAAACAGTTCAATAAATCAGTTCAAACAGTTGAGTTCAAAACGTTGAGTTCAAATTTGGTTAGAAGAATTTGATTCAAAAGATTCGATTCGTTGATTCAGTTCAGAAAATCCAAAGTTTGTTAGAATTGCGAAAAAATGATTCAACAGTTCCAGAGAAGATCTTTTTGCACAGAGAAACAAAATACTCTGAGCAGCCTTTCCAAAATAAAGCTCAGTCCCGTTTAGGAAAAAACTAGCAGGCAATCAGAACTTTCCTACCCAATTCCACAGGTGTTGGTTCAAAATTAAATCTGGCATCAATCAACGTTCATCTCGCTGGGAAGGCTCGCCATCTTAGATCGTAACGCCGAAACGAATGCAGTTCCAGCGTAGCACAAAAACCTGACCTGCATGTGCAACAGGCAGCATTTAGTTCACAGCACATTAAATTCACAGCTTTTAGTTTACAACAGTAAATAGTAACACTTGGTATCCTGTTCAGCATATAACAGCTACATGTCCATCGAAATTCGACAGCTTAGATAACATTATGCAACTTAAACATCATAAAATCGCTCGTTCAATATGTTCAACAACGAAACATGAACATCACAAACTCTAGGGTGACCATATTTTAGTTTTCAGAAAACAGGACGTGGGGAGGGGGGGGGGGGGTTGATGGGCGGGGCGTGATTTTGGGGGGGGGGGGGCGTGGTCTGGGGGAGAATGCATCAAAAAACACTTGACAAATGCATTCACAACCTTGCAACTATGTTATTTTACTTTAATACATAAAGTAATACATCATTTTCATGCAATGTTTGGCCCGCAACAATAGAATACTATTTAAAAAAAGTTGACACTACATTACACTATTTCTACTTGTGCGGTAAGAAATGGCTTGGAGAAGGTTAGTAGGAATAGGATCAAGCGGACAGGTGGTAGGGCGAATGGAAAGGAGGAGTTTGGAGACTTCTGCCTCTGAAAGCAGAGAGAATGAGGGTAGAATGTGTGTGTTAGCTGGTAGAATGTGTGTGTCCGTTTGTGGATTGGAAAATTGGCCGCTGATGGTGGTTGTTTTATTTATGAAGAATGTGGCAAAATCGTCAGCTGTTAGGGTTGATGAAGGAGGAGGAGGAGGAGGGTTGAGAAGAGAGGAGAAGGTTTTGAAAAGCATGCGAGAGTCAGAAGAATTGTTAATTTTGTTGTGATAGTAAGTCATTTTAGCAGTAGAGATACTAGCAGAGAAGGAAGAGAGGAGGGATTGATAAAGACCAAGGTCAGTAGGATCTTTTGATTTGCGCCACTTCCTCACTGCACCCCTGAGTTTAGAACGATGTTCACGGAGAACATCAGATAGCCAGGGGGAGGGGGTGTGGTGCGGGCTGGCCTGGAAGAAAGGGGACAGAAGTTGTCCAAGCAGGATGTTAAAGTGGAAAAAAGAAACTCCTCCAAGAAACTGCCAAGCTGACCCGGGGAACGATAGATAACTACAAAATGGATTTTTATAGGACTAGTGATGGTAATTGAATGCGATTCAAATGAGCTGTTGTCACACAGAGGTAGTAAAGGATCAAATTTCCAATCATTTGAGATGAGTAGACCAGTACCTCCACCCCTTCCGGTCAGGCGAGGGGTGTGTGAGAAAGTGAAGTTAGTGGAGAGGGCAGCAGGTGTGGTAGTGTCCTCTGGTCTGATCCAGGTCTCAGTCAGGGCCAATAGGCTTAGACCTGAATGATTAGAAATAGATGTAATGAAATCAGCTTTGTTTACAGCGGACTGGCAATTCCAGAGACCAATAGGAAAAGAAAATAAAGTACTAGAAGACACTGGAAGGGATCGCAGGTTGTTAGGATTGTACTGCCTCCGTGACCTTTGATTTACGTATGTTAGTAATAGTAGGAATTTGAAAACACATAGTGTAAGAGAGCTCAAACCCAGAAAGATCAGAAGAAAAGTTGTGTAGTAGAGAAAGGAAACAACAAAAAGATAATACTCAAGTGCCTTGTCGGTGTCCTTGCTCGGTGGAGTCGCACAGGTAGAGTCGCTGGTCTTTACACTCTTCGGTCTTCACACGATGAGGGCTTCACACGAGGGCCGCCGCGACCGCTGCCGCGAAGCATTAATCAATATGTGTACAGATGTGACTTTATGTGACTTTATGTGTACAGATGTGACTATGTGTACAGATGTGACTTTATGTGTACAGATGTGACTTTATGTGTACAGATGTGACTTTATGTGTACAGATGTGACTTTATGTGTACAGATGTGACTTTATGTGACTTTATGTTTACAGATGTGACGTAATGAAGCAAAGACATGCTCGAATTTCCCGTGGAAATCCACCAGTACCACTGGAGTTAAAAACATTATTACAAGCTTACCGTTTAGAATCGAGCTACAGCAAACAGAGAGTTTCGGATCTTTTTTAACCAAAAAAAGCTACGGACTGCAGATTTAACTATAACAACCCTGGTTTATATGTTTTGAAGTTTCCTTTCTCTACTCCACAACTTTTCTTCTGTACATCTGTACAGTTTTCCAGAATGTAATTCTTTGTAATAACAGACCCATTTAAAGAGAATTCTAGCTGATACTGAAGAAGGGAGTGGTATCAAATTACAGTTTATTCTGTAGAATAGTTTCTTCAACTATTTGGGCAGGTTTGAACCTGTACTTTTAGAAAATAAACTATTGTGCCTAACTGTCACATTTCAGAAGTGAGGGGAACAGAAATGTCAAGTTTAATACCAGTTTTTTCTGAACTTTGTCTAACTGACAGGTTTTAATTTTTTCTTATCTCTTGCTTTTAATTGGCTAGGAAATCAAATACACTGTTGAACCATAACCATTCACTTGTATATGCTAGAACAACCGACTGCACATTTTAGATGTCTCCATAATCAAACTCACCTGATTCAACTCATCAGTTCTTTATTAAAAGGTGTATCAAGTCCAACACACCTAAAGACTCCAAGTCCTCAGATGGGATGGATTTTTGCAAAATCAATAAAAGGAGTTTGTTTGGCTGTGTGAACGGTTGTGAACACATTTGAGAATTTTGTATGCAATGCTTTGAAATGCAAAAAAATTATGCATATGATTTGTAATTTGTATGAAAATATTGATAACTTACAATCTGTTCAGGACAATTACAAAGTGTTCAGATCACTGTGTTAGTTGTTTTGAGTGCAGTGATATGAGTTTGGATAAGTGTGTAAGAAAGATTGTAAAACACACCTAAAACACACACACTCTCTATAGTTTAGAGATGCAGGGGTAATGTCCCCACAACACATAAAAACCAGGCAAAAAGGTATTTTTGCTTGGGTATTTAATTTTTTATTTGGTCTGTTTCTGATTTGAATGGGTTTGTGATTTGAAAACTATCTGTTTACCCCTTAACACCCTCCATATCGTTCAAACACGTATTAGCTTTTCTCTATGCATTTAGACATTGTATGTAAACCCCACCCTAAACCCCAAGCACACATACAACGAAATTACATGGAAAAGTTTTTCTGTTCTCCGAGTTTTACTAGTTTTTTTTATTACTTCCACCTCCCACGATGCTATATAGTCCTATAAGAGCCTCTTCTGTCTGATCTGAGAGTCGACGGCTGCTGTGCTGATTACTGAAGCCTTACAATTTTACAAGACTATACAAGAACAGTGAGTATGTTTTAAAGTAAGTTTTTAGTTTAAAGTTGCCAACTTGCATTTAAAAAAAAACTGTGGCATTATAATCGACATTTGAGGTATGACTAATTTTTATCAAAAGAACTGTCAAGATTTTCAAAAAAATGTCCCTATTAGTTTTGGAATTATAGATTTTAACTTTAATGTTTGACTCTTTTGTTTTATAGATGGAAGGATCAAAACCGCAGGAAAGGTAATTCTGCTCAGACTCCTATGATTAAATCTGTGCGCTTCATTATACAGTATATAAATACCGTATTGCATCACGATTAATGTCTACAAACTGGATAATTCTGACAATAACTTTTCTAAAATGTATGAAACGGCTGTATAAATTCAGTACTGGTGTGTGTGTCGCTGCAGTGAAGTGAGAATCGAACACTCTCTCAATAAGAACGAGAAGGAGTTTGTAGCCAGAAGGAGAAATGATGTTCAGCAAAGCCTGAAGAAACTTAAGATACCCTGCAGTGAGGTAATATTATAGTTTATCTGACTGGATATTTATAAACTGTGTTGTATCTGATGAACATCAATTGTTTGCTAAATCAATCTGCATTTCAGAACAAAGTGCCAAACATTGCATTACTGGGATCTGGAGGAGGACAAAGAGCCATGGTGGGTTTGCTGGGATCCCTGGATCAACTCCAGAAAACAGGTCTTCTGGACTGTGTGCTTTATCTGAGCGGAGTCTCTGGATCCACCTGGTACACACACACACACACACACACACACACACACACACACACACACACACACACACACACACACACACACACACACACACACACACACACACACACACACACACACACACACACACACACACACACACACACACACACACACACACACACACACACACACTCTCTCTCTCTCTCACACTCAGTCACACACACACACACACACACACACACACACACAGACTGAATGTCATAAATGAGAGCATATGTTGTTCTTCTGAAGGTGCATGGCCTCCTTATATCAGGAGTCAGACTGGTCCACCAAACTAGAGACTGTGAAAGACAAGATCATCCAGAGACTCAGCGGTCCTGCAGTCAGCTGGGGAGATGCTTTTGCCAAACTGAAGAAAGATTATACAGACCCAAGAAAAGACACAAATCTATTCAGCTTGACTGATGTCTGGGCAGCGATGGTCGTCACGGATTATGTGAAAGAGGTCTTTAACTATTCATAATACAACACTCAATGATGTATGATCTTAAAGGAACAGTTGTAAATTCTGTCCTCATTAGGGGCTTTCACACCAGAGGAACCTTTTCATAGTTTCCTCTTATTTTTCACGATTTCAGTTCTAGGAACTACTTTTGGAGGAACTAATTTGACTCCTACTTCAGAGTCGGGTCCTAACCATAGACTGTAAAAAAACCATTTGGTTGATGGACCCCATGGACTTCCATAGTAGTAGTAAAATAAAATATAGAAGTGAAGTCAAAAGTCTGAGACCATATTGAAAATCTGAAATTTATAAGCGATTCCTAACTGTTGTAGGCCAGTGAGAGCTGTGTGTGTAAACCTCACTCCCCTGATCTCAAGAGTAACTCTAGAGACTGTGAGTATGGCAAGCCGTCTTAACATTCAATCATTTAAGCCTACTAGTCTCTTTTTTTCATGCTACTACTTATTTTTTAGATACTATACGTATATTCCATTAAGTACTGGTTCTTATTCAAAAGATACTCAAGGTGTTTTTCACTTGAGGTTGATTGTGACTGAATAAATTGTCCCAGTCTCTCCTACATGTACCAACATAATACTGTAAATACTAACAGCTGCAGAATTTTTTTCTCTTCAGATAGACGAACACACACTCTCAGATCAGCGAGACCGACACAAAGACCCGTTTCCCATTTACACAGTGATCGACAAGCAATGCAAACAGAGCAAACAGAGCAAAGATGGAGGTCTGTGTTAGTATGTAAGACAGACAGAGTTAGGGCCCTATCTTGCACTCAGCGCAATTGACTTTGTACACCGACGCATGAATCATTTGTATTTTGCACCCGCGCAAAGCGGACTTTTCCCTCCACAGACGCACGCCGGCAAACTAGGGACTGAACTTGAGCTCCCTGGGCGGTTCAGCACAAAAAAGAAGGCGTGTTCCGGCGCAAACATTCCCTGGTGCAATTTTGCAGTTCCAGAAAACAATTGCGCCACTGACCAGAAAAAACCTAGTCAGTGGCGTGTTGCACGTACATTCAGATGCTATTTTAAGCGCGCATGCTTGGCCATAATACAGAATGAACAACGCGCATACACTGTAGATGATTCTCTCATCTACACAGATGGATTTTCCTTTTTGCAAATGATACATTATTATAAGGAAAAATATTAAAACACGAGGGAAATTATTGTTGTGTCCATGACGATGGGAAAAATATGCATAAACCTTACACATTTACCCAAATTATTATATGCATGTTTAACCGAAGCTAATTTGGGTGGGTTTGTCCCATCCCCAATGTCACTTCTCTGTCTTTTACGGCCCTGACGAGAACATCGATCTCCTCGGCTGTGAACCGATTCTGAAGCGCGCTGGTAAATGCGCCGTTATAATAGTATTGCGCCATGGAACAAGTGCACCTCTTTCATCATGCTCTTAAAGGGAATGTGAGATGACGCTCTTATTGGTTTATTTCACGTTACGCCCAAACCACACCTATGAATAATGAAGCTACTTCAGACCAACCCTTTTTAGATTTGCGTCGAGCGCAACAGTCATTTATCCCGCCGGTAAAATAGCAACAGCGCCCGGGATACGCCCACAAAGTTACTTGCGCTTTGCGCTTGACACTTGCGTTTCAGATCGTTAAAATAGGGCCCATAATGTGTTTGTGTCAGCTGTTATATGGATGTGTTTCTGTCTGCAGACCCCTGGTTTGAGTTCACTCCATATGAAGCAGGTTATTCCCTCACTGGAGCGTTTGTGGAAACATCCAACTTTGGCAGCAAGTTTGAAAATGGCCGTAAGATCAAGGACAAGAACCAGCCTGAGATTGACATGCTGTACCTGCAAGGTAACACACTCTGTGACAGGAGAGTTTATTCACATTTATAATATCAACCTACATTCTCTTGATTCTCCTTTATTCATTGACCTGAATTAGAGAATCGTATAAAACAGATCAATAGTATCTGGGATTGATCTGGGGATCAGGGGTCTCATTTATCAAGCCTCTGAGAATTACTCACAAGAACAGTGCTAAGAATTGACTTATGAGTAAAACAATTCTTGGCTCAGAGCTGCTTCTAAAAGTTAGTTATCCAGCATCTCAGTCGTAATTTAAGTGTAGGACTAAATCTTAAGTGTCAGTCTTAGAGATAATTCACAACACACTGCTGTGCTACAAACGGGATTTTGGATGACGACATCGCCTCGATTTCTGGCTTAGGCTTAGTAACTAGGAAATTGATGGCGGTTTGCAAGCATTCTCGCCTAGAGCCTCTCAGTATCTGAGTGTAGGCTCCTTAGAGCTAGAGTCATCGGAATGAATTATTCCGGTAAATCTAGTAGCTCCTAGTACTGGCCTCCTCTTACTACAAGAGTTGTCTAGCCAAGGCCCGCCTTTGCATTGGGCGTAAGATGCTAGTGGTGTTATAGGGTAGATAGCAGCATAGGTAGCAGGCTATCTTCAAAGCCTCCCATGCAGATATCTCATGGGCGTTGCCAGGCCTTTTTCTCTCTAGAAAGTAAGAAGCAGTATGCTCAGGCCTCTGCCTTTTAGAGCTCAGTATGGTAGCAAGTTATCCAGCTAGCCTTTAAATTTGAAAAAGGATTTTGATTTGATTTGATATCTTTATTTCGAACTTGGAAAAGAAAAGAAAGTATATAACAATATTTAAAAACAGAGGAGAAAAAACAACAACAACAACAACAAATGACCAGCAAACAAAGTACACTTCTTTCCTGTTATTACATGTGCGAAAAGGAGTTTTTTCCACTGAGCCCCTTGAATAAATAATCCAAGTCATAAGGTTGAATGTCTATGCTGCTCTCATTTTTTCATCTAAAATATATAGCCAAATTGCCTCCCATGTTGACACTCCCTGTGGCTGAAAAGCTAATTAACATCTTTGTATTTTCTCGCATTGATTACTGTAATGCTTTGTTGGCCGGGGTCTCAAAAGCTACCCTTAACAAACTACAGTTGGTACAAAATTCTGCGGCTCGAATTCTGTCTGGAAACAGGACAAGGGATCATATTACTCCTGTACTGGAATCTTTACACTGGCTCCCTGTCAGATTCCGTGTTGATTTTAAAATCCTAATGCTTACCTATAAGGCTTTGCATGGACTGACACCTCATTATCTTGCTGAACTTTTAACCCCTTACACACCAGCATGTGATCTCCGCTCTTCGGAAGCTGGCCTTTTAATTGTTCCGCATACCCGACTAAAATCCATGGGTGATAGGGCCTTTTCGTCGAATGCTCCAAAACTTTGGAATTCCCTGCCTGCTGAGATTAGGGAAGCCAAATCCCTTAGTGTTTTTAAATCATCCCTTAAAACATATTTGTTTAGGGTAGCTTTCACATAATTGTTCAAAATTTTTTGTCAGTAATGCATTGTTTGTTTAATTGTATGTTTGATCATGTTTCTATTCTTGTGAAGCGCTTTGAGATGCTTTTTAAAGGCGCTATATAAAATAAAGTTTATTATTATTATAATGTTGTTGGCCACTTATTGTGGCCTCCATTTCCTTGGGTTTAGTAGAGAATGTAAATCTGTCCTGATAAGAAATAAAAGATAATTGGCCTTGACCCTGATACATTCCTTAGGGTCATGCTGATGGTACTCCCCTTGTTAGGGTCTTTATTAGAGTACTTAGCTACCCATAGCTCGTTTGATATCACCCTTCACCACCCAGGCTCAGGTAGAGACAGATTGGCTATTCTCTCCCACCTGGGATGGTTGAGTACGCTCCCTTAGAGCCGAAGCACTGCCTGGGCTGACGCCCGTGACTTTTGAAGCTGTAGGCCTTTCAGTAGGCCTCCCCGATAGTCCGGTAGCATAAGATTGTACTCCCCTTCCTCCACTTCTGCTGAGTACACTTCCTGTGCCTCTGCCAATGTAAATCTTAGAGCTGGAGGCGCTCCCCTTATTAGGGTCCCTTTCAGAGTACCCAGCCTCCACAAGGCTCTGATGCACTGTGTAGATCAAGGATCGAGTAGAGTCACTCCCCTCATTTGCAAGGGTTAGAAAGAGCTATGCTGAGTCCTACTCTCCAGTTGTACTCCCCTTACTTTAAAGGGTCGATAGCACTTCTGCTGAGTACACTACCTGTTGGCAACGTAAATCTTAGAGCTGGAGGCGCTCCCCTTATTAGGGTCCCTTCAGAGTGCCCAGCCTCCACAGGGCTCTGAAGCACTGTGTAGATCAAGGATAGAGTAGAGTCACTCCCCTCATTTGCAAGGGTTAGAAAGCGCTATGCTGAGTTCTACTCTCCAGGATGCCCGTCTCTATGATCCGGTCTGTGAGTGCTTACTGCCACGATCTGCATTCCTCCCTATCGGATGCCTCCACTAAGTTAGGCAAATGTGTTAGAGATGCTGTTTAAAAGAACAAGCAATGCCGGGCTGACACCCGTGACTATCGGAGCTGTAGGCCTTAAAGTAGGCCTCCTCAATAGTCCGGTAGTGTAAGATTGTACTCCCCTTGCTTAATGGGTCGAAAGCACTTCTGCTGAGTACACTACCTGTTGGCAATGTAAACCTTAGAGCTGGAGGCACTCCCCTATTAGGGTTCATTGAAGAGTGCCCAGCCCCCACATGGCGTGAAGCACTGTGTAAATCCAGGATTGGGTAGAGTTACTCCCCTCGTTCGCAAGGGTTAGAAAGCACTATGCTGAGTTCTACTCTCCAGGATGCCCGTCTATATGATCCGGTCTGTGAGTGCTTACTACCACTATCTGCAGTTCTCCCTAACGGATGCCTCCACAGGTGAGGGAAAATATGTAGAGACTCTGTTCAGGAAACAGACAGGTTGTTGGCAAGACTAGGTCATTAATTAGACCAGGTCAGCCTCCCTGGTGGCAGGTGGGGTTGATTTCATATCCCCCTCAGAAAGTGACTGGACGGGACTCCTTGGAGCCCCTGGCCATATTCCCTTAAAGGAACCCCTTCCACGGAAGTTGTTGGTTCCAGAGCCTTTGAGCGGCCTTGGTAGGCCTCCATTGTATCGGAGGCCTCTTTAAAGGCTTACAGCTTGGGCAGTGGCCGTAGGGAATACTGTCACTGAAAGCCTGTATGTGACCCGAAGGGGGAGTGTTTTTGGCATTTCAGTGAAACTGCCGGTTTCTGACGTTTTTGTCACAGCCATAATTTGGCATGCACTCCCCTCAGCATGGCAGCGTGGGTATCTCGTTACCCATAGCGCTTGACGCAATTCGAGTTCCCTTCGAAAGGGAACGTCTCAGGTTACGACTGTAACCTATGTTCCCTGAGAACAGGGAACGAGACACTGCGTCTCGTCGCCATGCCTCGGGGATGCCTGCTGAACTGTCCCTGAAGACGATAAGCTGTTGACTTGTTCTCCAGGCTCCCCTTATATACTTCCGGGTCGCACTAGTGATGATGTCATAGCCTGTCATAGGCCAATAGGATTGCCGTGATTAGACAAGCGTTTCAGACACCGGTTCATGCGAAGGCGTTCCCCATAGCGCTAGACGCAGTGTCTCGTTCCCTGTTCTCAGGGAACATAGGTTACAGTCGTAACCTGAGACGTTTTCCACCATGTCTTAATTACAAATTTTAAACTGGTGTGCTGTTAACTGATATAGCCTAGATTTTATGATATAATCAGCCACTGTTGATTCCAAAAGAAAACTGAATTGGGAGGAAGAAGTGCAACCGCTTGCTGAATTAGTTGAACAGCAGAAACTTGTTATAAAAGGCAAGTTCAGCCCAACATTAACCAGCGCTGACAAAGATGATTCCTGCTCTGTCCAAACGATACGGTTTGATGAACTGCTCGTCGTCAAACATTTCAAAAACATTCTTCCTCTACTGAAAGATTTACGCACGTCTCTGTCTCCTGCCATCACAAGCCCTTACTGGACACTCCTAACCACTTGAGAGACCTCTCGAGCTGTCTTAAATAACTGGAAAAGTAAAGGTCATTGCACACTGCCTCCGAAACTTTCATCCGTCATAAAAAATTCGGATCGAGTTCAGTTTTCTGCGTTTTTTGCATCCGTAGCAAACATTTTGAATGGTCTTTTGACAATTCAGAGCCACTATTTTTTCAGAGCGAAAAAACGCATCCGAAAATTTCGGACTCAGTGTGCAAGCTTAAGACCTTAAGAGGGATTCATAGCTTTAAGAAATAACTTGCTTTTATACTTAAGTTTGAAAGATGTAAATTTCATGTATCCTCAGCGCTTAAGACTAAAATGGCACTTTGAGAAGCTTAATAAATTCGAGCCCAGGTCTGTCAAAACTGAAATATAAAGCTTTAAAATTAGAAATGCTGAACAATCATTAAAAAAGCAATTTCACCAACACACCGAGGTGCTGTTTTTCAACATAAACCTTCTCATTACACAGTGATTTAAAGGAAAGATAATTTTTGCTCAACAGTAAGAGCCTAAATCAGACTGTTTGTATTACGCATTTTATTTTAAAAATGATACGTTTTTGTTTATTGTAAACACTTTTAAACTTGAATGTGTTTTCTGCAGCTCTGTGTGGCAGCGCTTTAGCTGATGGAGAAGAGATCCGTAAATTCCTCTGGCAAAAAATAGGAGGTGCAACTTCATTTGTTCTGAAGATTCAGTTCTTTCTAAAGCTGAGAGTCATTTCATTATCATGTGAACCTTATTTCTATTTGATTCCCCCCCCAGAGATCCTAAACAACTTAACATCTAAAATCTGCCATTTCATACCTTTTAAATCAAAAACAAAAATGATGTGTATGGAAATGAGAGGAGGTAAAGCATTTATTACAGCTTTTATTTATTGACAAGTGGATTTATCTTTTGTGGTGTGGGTGGTAGATCATTCAGTGCTGTGGTTCTGAAACTCTGGAATTCTCTTCCTCTACTTCTACTATATACTCAACTAAAAACCTATTGTATGAATATGTACTATGTGATGCATACTAATGCTTAATGCTGTTTTTGTTATCTTCTTGTACAGCGACCTTGAGCTTGGGATAAATAAAACGTATTATTATTCTTTTGTGTCTACTGTTCTGTTCATGCTACCTGCTGAGGAATAAAAAGTTAACCTCTTTAATGATGAAAAATAAAAGTTAGCTATAATGATGATTATCACCTGAAAACACCTGATAACTGAATGTCATAAATTTGGGGATGGAAATCTATTGATATTCAAGACATTTTGCCCTGTGTTCATGTTTGTTCAAGGTGTGTTATCTTCAGAAGATCCAGACTCCCCTTCCATAGACGAATGTTACCAGGTGCTCATGAATCTCGTGGACATGAATCTCTTGGTTTTGGATGGCAAAGATCCGTCTGATCTTGAAGAATCCATCAGAACAGAGATGAGCGGTAAGAATAAACTAAAGTGTGCTAGAAAATGTATCTTTAATACCCTTTCAGCAACATTTAAACCGTAAAATAAACTACAAACTAATTGATGAAACAGTAATATGCAAAAACATCTGTTATGGCCAACACAAACTCTAATGAACACAAGATACACAAACCTGCATCAGATTAAAAGAACTCAATCATGTTCTCCTCTTTTCACAGAGATCTTTGGAGGCAAACATGAGGTGATGATGTTTGAAAGAGAGCTTTTGAAAACCGCTAAAACAGATAATGCAAAACAGTATATCGAACAATTAACTGTGGATGTGTGCAATCAATTGAGTCGTTGGTTCAGTTTCTGGCAGCTTGGTAGGTTGAACTGTCTTTACAATGTGTTGATTTGTATAATGTAGTTCATTTTTGATTTTCTAGCCAAGATTAATGCATGAACCAAAATGTGCTTTACTCTAAGAATCCATAAAGCTTCCAATAGCATCATCTTAGTGAAAAACAAACATACTAAAATGTATTTGAAATACATTGCTTTGTGCTAAGTATACTATAAATACATTTACATATGTATTTGCTTAATAAAAATACCCTGCAATTGTACTTTTGGAATACCAAACTGGTATACTTAAAGTCTGCTAAACTGGAACAACTAATTTTGTACTTAATGCACTTTAATAGTGCTGAGGTCCAGCTGAAGATATACTTAAGTATATTTTATTTTTATATTTGCTAAAGTGGAACAATTGCAAGTACTTTAAGTACACTTTAAATATCATGCATTTAAAACTGATATTATACAGCAATCATACAATCTTTATGAATAATGATATTAAAATACATTTTAGGCATTATATTAAGAAATGTGCAGTGAGAAATAAAGAAATACTCCAAATAAAGTTGAATTATATTTTATATTAGTAAGTATTAAGTGATATGTCAATGAAAATGTTAATGGATTTAAAGTATCCGTAGTATGAAATAAATGTATTTTAAATATATTTTGGTATAGGTTTTTTTACTAGGGCAACAAAAATGGTTTTAACAGACTGATGCCACAGCAAAACCTTTAGACATCCAATGATGTACTTTAAATCTGAAGAATCTTTCATGAAACATGTCTCCAAATGAGCATATAGTCAACTAAAAACCTATACAGAATATAAAACAATATCAGAATATTTAATGAATTTAAGAACCACTGTATATGTTTTACAGATCTTTTGAAGAGAATTGTTATATGCATGGTTCAGTGGATCTGGGGAAGGAAATATGACTTTCTTCACAACATGAAACGTGAGAACAGAAACTCATAGACAGATGCTAACTGTAAATGCATTGTGAATAATATAATAATGCTGTGATCCCTCAGATGAAGCAGTGCCCGCTGCTCTTCTGGAAAGTGAGACGAGAGAATATGAAGACGGAGGACTGTTGCTGAACTCGCCCTATTTCTCAGTGCTGAGAGAAGAGAGAAACATCGACCTCATCATTTCACTGGATTTCAGTGACGATAAGGATCCTTTCAAGGTATTATACGCACAGAGAATTCACTAATAGTTCATTTAAAGGAAAAAATCCCCTTGAAATCATCATTTTCTCCCTCTCATATCGTTCCAAACCCGTGACGTGTTTCTTCTGTAGAACAACAGGAGCTTTTTTTTTTTTAATAATCTTGCTGCTTTTTTCCTCATGACATTCATAGTGACAGAGTTCAGACTAATCTAAAATAAACACATTAACAGATAATTTCAAATGCTGTATGTCAAAAAACAAGAAAGAAAAACATTTAAAAATAAAAGCATGAGTTTTCATCTAACCATATTTATTTATAATACCCAGAGAGTGCCGTCCGTTAGCATTCTCATTTATCTCAGCGGTTCCTCATCCTGACGATTTTAGTTAATACTTTAAATATAAACTTGAAATGTCTGTCTAACCCTTTTAATCAAACAATAATGTGTTGCTTTTCTACCACAGACAGTGGCAGAAGCTGCTGACACATGCGGGAAACTAAACATCCCTTTCCCTGAGGTCAACATTCCCAATGGACACTCAGAGAAACCGAATGACTTCTATGTGTTCAAAGGCAAAAACACTCCCACCGTGATACACATCCCTCTCTTTAATGTGGTCAACTGTGGAGGCAAGTTATGATCTTAATGTCCTGAATAAAACTAAAATATCAACTGTGTTCTGATTTAAGTGTCACTGTTTCTTCAGATAAAATTGCGGAGTGGAGGAACAAATATAAGACCTTTCAAGGTCCTTACAGCGCTGAGATGATCACTGATCTTATGGAGGTCGCTGGAAAAAACATCACAAACAACAAAGAGAAACTGCTGGAGCAGATTCATCTGGCCATGAAAAACACAAAAGATGAATAATAAATATCAGTGGTGTGCAGCATTCTGAAACAAGGCGGCAAAGTCCTCACTGTTTGTTTTAATGTAAATTCCAGTTACACTTAAAGGGATAGTTCACTTTGAAATAAATTTTTGGTATGTTTTAGCTTACCTCAAGGGCATCCAAGATGTAGGTGTCTTTGTTTCCGCAGAAGTTTCAATTTTGATATTTTTAGGTCAAACCGTTCTTGTCTGTCAGTCATATAATGCAGGTCTATGGTCACCACCTCAAAGAACATGCACAGAGAAGTCCAAATTAAACATGATTTAATGACTCGTTAATGTAAGTACACATTGATGGCCTAAGACACGAAACGAGCGGTTTGTGTGAGAAAACGAACAGTATTTATATCGTTTTTACCTCTTGTAACGCACAGACCGAAGCGCCCGCGCCCTCAGATCACTTGGACGTGGCTGTGTTTACAAGAGGTAAAAACGATATAAATACTGTTCGTTTTCTCACACAAACCGCTCGTTTCGTGTCTTAGGCCATCAATGTGTACTTACATTAACGAGTCATTAAATCATGTTTAATTTGGACTTCTCTGTGCATGCTCTTTGAGGTGGTGACCATAGACCTGCATTACATGACTGACAGACCAGAACGGTTTGACCTAAAAATATCAAAATTGAAACTACTGCGGAAACAAAGACACCTACATCTTGGATGCCCTTGAGGTAAGCTAAAACATACCAAAAATGTATTTCAAACTGAACTATCCCTTTAATGTGGACATAATTTTTGAAGCATGTGAAACGTGCATGAAAACATTTGGACGGAACAATAGGCCAATCATTATGTTTTTTTTTTCTGTTTAATGTTTAATAGTTTTGCATGTTTCAGTTTGTTCATATAAACAGCTGATCATTAAAGGTGCTGTATGTAACCTTCTCACTCGACTAAAGCATACAAATACCATAATATGTTTGCAGATATTTGGGAAACATGCTATAGGTTCACATACTCGTTTCTCTGAAAAACACTTCTATAGCCAGTTATTTTACTTATTTTTAGTGCTGGGCAACGATTAAAAAATTTAATCGCGATTAATCACATGATTTTCTTGCGATTAATCGCGATTAATCGCATTGTTACGCGCAAAATTGAATAATGAATTCTAGTAGTGTATTGCGCACTTTTGATTTAAATGTACTGCTACAAAAGTGCAATAACATGTGGTTTGCAAAAACTTTAAACAAATAAGGTGCTTTTATACCAGCAGTATTCCCTTTACACAGTATCAATAAAATATTTCTTGTAATTCTCAACTTAAACATTAATGTAATCAAATCAAATATTTAAACAAAGCTATTTGCCACTGCCAGGGCATTACCTTTTATCTAGCTTGTTAAAACGAGTCCAGTTTTCTTGGGTTTTTTTTTCTGAACAGGTATCTTGTATCAGGGAGCAGCAGAAACAGTCTATGTAGTCAAAGGGTCATGATCACTACTACAGATATAAGTCGACCAACGTTACTTCTCTGATAGCAGCTTAGGTTTGGTCATGCCATGCCATGGTTTCCCACGTAAGATTACATTAAACAGAGGTAAAGCCCAATTTATACTTCTGCGTCGAACTCACGCCGTAGCTGTGTAGCGCGCGTACCCTGACGTGCATCTCTCCAAAAATGTAACGTCAATTCTACGCGTACCGCAAGCGCTGTGATTGCTAGAACCGCTCCCCGGGTTTCACACTCTCCCTCTGCATGTGTAATTGCGCGTCAACGCGGACAACGACGCAGATATATAAATGAAAACCAACGCGTTGTCTATAGCGTAGAGGCTCCGGCGTAAGTCCGACGCAGAAGTATAAATCAGCCTAGAGTGAGGTGAAGTGGTCGAGCACAGGTGCAGCGACAAGCGGGTGCGTTCCTGTGAAATAGTTGCGGTCATACTCGCCTCACGCATGCGCCCGCGCGTTGCCGAAGTTGAATTGTCTAACTTTTTTGTACACGACGCGCAGCACAAATCATTGGAAGAGAGACTGATCCTCGGCTCGCTGTTTGTGAGTTTCCAGAATCTAAATAGTTATCAGGACATCAACAGGAGGGAATTCACATGGCAGAGCATCCCCGCTAAACTAAACGCAGGCCTATCAGGTAAAGTTACGTATAATTTTAATTTAAGTTAAAAAGGCTACAGCTGCGTAGCGCACAGAAGCCGTTGCATGGTTACTATCCATAGAGCGCCTGTCATTCACTCGCGGAGCGCTGTCTCCCTTTCTGTTCACCTGAGAGAACCTGCCAAAGCCTCTCCACTGCTTGTTTGGGTGGGTTATTTGCTGGCTGACCAACATCCCACCCCTCCTGTGATCATGGTTTGACTGTAGGCCTATGTGTATTCAGAGGCAGTGAGCAACAGACTTTCAAAATAATAAAAAAAAAAACCTCTGCGTTAACGCGCGATAAAAAAATTGTCGGCATTAATTAATAAATGCGTTAACGCGATAATAACGCGTTAACTTGCCCAGCACTACTTATTTTACTTAGAAATGTGCGTTTCCAGGCAGGAATGTTTTTTTTTCTTTTTCTTTTTGTGATACTGCACGTTGCCAATTTGCCATTTTTCATTGTCCATTGCGCTCGTTCCTGTTGCGTGTGGTCAAACTGGCAACCCGAGTGAGTGCCGTCCAGTCTGAGGAGCCGGAGGCCGGAGAAACCACGATCTCCGATATTTTGAATAATACTGCAGTACCTATTTCGACCACTAGTTGTCATTCTTACATACTGCACCTTTAATAATCAAATCAACCATAACACAGACTGATTTACAACTATGATTGCTGATTAAAATATTGTATTACTTTGCTTCTGTTCCAATTAATTAATAAATCATTCTCTACAAATATGGTTTTGTCCTGGTCATTTGATATCAAACAGCACAAATGCTCATGATTATGAAACTGATAGTTGTGGTCCGGGACAATCCACAGAGAGAGAGAGAGATAGGCTGCGTCCGAAACCGCAAACTTCCCTACTATATAGTATGGGAAAAAGAGTAGGCGAGCGAAAAGTATGTAGGGGAGAGCGGGGCAC